ACCACGGCTCAATCAACTGTGAATACAACAAAGCAGTGTTTCTCAAATGCCGGGTCCAGACCCAAAAAAGGAGTCATGGACATACAGTGTTTTGGGCCCAAAAAACAGGAAACATTTATCGTCAGTTTGAGCCTCGTCCACCCGTGAACTGAACTTTACTTTTCGTGTCTACGCCTAAATGTATGAGTTGATTTTTTTACAACTATATTCTCGACGGAAAAGTTTTGCAAAGACATTTATGTATCTTAAAAAAACAAAACAAAGCAGCTCATTGGTTGCATCAATAGTTCCTTCAGTTTGAGGAGAAACTGAAGGATTGTAGAAAATTTACAAGAATATAAAACGACACTTTTCCTTGTGTTTACAACTCTTTGTCTTAAGAGTCTACGGCCTCTGTTGAAAATGTGTTTACATTTGTTTTGTTTTTTTAAATTGGGAAACAAGAGATAAACCAAGACATTTGTAGAAAATTTGCATTCCAGAAACACCCAGGTCTCTTTGCACTGGTTCTATCCCTGAGTCTGTAACTCAGTCCATTATAAAAACCAACATTCACAGAATGAATCCTCAGTGTCTGTGAATGTCTGACTGTGTCGCTGCTGCTGCTGCTGCTGCTGCTGCTGCTGCTGCAGCGGTGGTGTGCCTCAGTGTCTGCAGGCTATATAATGATCTGATAAAGTCTTTAAACACATCAAGTTTATGACACGTGTAGGCAACATAAGGCCCCCGGGGCCAAATCTGGCCGCAGGACAAGTTTATCTGGGCATTCTTGACCTGCAAAAAAAAAAAAAAAACAGGTGGCGCTGGTGTTTGGACAGAACCTGAAGTCACTGTCGAGGACAGAGTGGCTGCGTTTCAGATTAGGACACGGCTTGAGTTTTATTCTGAAATAGCTGCAGGAAGTGTGACTTTGTGTGATAATCCGAGGTGTTGCCCTTCACCTCCTCTGCTCCTCTGTCTGTGTCTGTGTGTGTGTGTGTGTGTACCTGCCTGTCTGTACCTACTGTAAGTTAGAGTCCTGATTTTAGCAGAGGACAGAATGGTGTTCAGTGTAATCACTGGGAGCTGCACCCAATTCCCCTAATTTAATGTCCTGTGTCGACACGGTAGCCCCCGACTGTCAGGTCCTTCCTCTGAACAGCATCCCTGCCTCGTTTGTTTGGACATGTCCTCCGTGGTTTGCACAAGTACTGCTGTCCATTACAGCCATAAAGTGCCTCTGTGTGCTCAAATTCCTAATCTCCAGCCTCTCCGCGCTGTCTTATTCCCTGACACTAAATGACAACGGGGCCCCACTCTGCCCGCCGCAGGAGCAGCGGTCCGTCCAGAAACCTTCAGGCTGATCTAAATTCTCGCCTCTGGGCTGGAACTGTGCTGGGTTTTCCGGGGGCCTTTCCCTGCCTCGTCAGGCGGCAGATGGACTGGCCCCTGTCCGGAGATCAGTGCGCATCTGGTGCGCGGTGCTCTCCCAGCCCTCGGTCAAAGTGGGGCCACTCTTCAACATTAAACCCCATTAGGAGCCTCCACTGTGCCACCGGTGCCTCAGGTTGGCTGCATTCCCCGCATACAGATGTAGGAGTGTGTTTGAGTTTGTGTTTGTGTCGGACAGCGACGATCACCGCTGCTCTGAACGACTCTGCCGTACCAATACTTTGGTTGATGAGACTCTTTTTAAAGAGTTTGAACAGCAGCAGCAGCAGCCGTGCTGTGTTCAAGAACAGTCAGTCATGTTTGGACTCAAACACGTCATTAAACATTGAAGTTTGTCATTATGACTCAATAAAGCAGGTGCATAAAGAAATGCCATAAATAATGGAAGAAAAAAACATCCTTGCACTGAATAAAAGTGGTTAAAAAACACAAGGACGTGACTAGAAAAATAAAACCTTGTTATAGGGTTCAACATTAATGACATTCATGCTGTTATAGTTCTACTGTTTACTATAAGTGGTGTCCAGCCCAGAGGTCCATCAAGTTATGTCCTACATATGCTGCAACGCTCTCCTCCATCAAGAGTACAACGATGAAACGGTACGTTCTCAATAAATGTCAACAAACACGTGTGTGAAAATCAGTATCTTCATGTATTTGACAAATACTTTGAATATTGAATTCAGCATCAAAGAGAGAGAGAGAGAGAGAGAGAGAGTGTTGGCCTGGCCTGCCTGCAGTCCACATCTGTATTTATTGAAAGTGTAAAGCACTCCATGAAGAAGGGAATCAGACAGTGACCACCGATGGTTAAACTCTTTTGCACAAAAAGTGCCGTTTACGACTTAGAAAATCACGTCCTTAAAGTCAAAACAACACAAAAATAAACTGGGATGTGACCCAGTCTTAACGTGAACACCCTTCCCTCGCTATCAAAGAGTGACGCAGGTATAAAATATTCAACTGGTTAGTGTTTAGCATGCTGTAGCATGAAGGTATTCAACATAGGGTTTGAGACCCCTAGGGGGTCTGTGAGGTAGAGCTTGAAGGTTGTCCAAAAAAAATTTTTTTTTGTAATAAACAACATTATAGCCCTACAGTATTTATAGGGAGGGGAGCCATCACTGAGACCCCACAAATTGATGGCAGTATTACTGCATACTGTACAACACAAATTCTCAACAGTGGTCGTAAGTGGAACTGCAAAACTGTGGGTCATGTACACAATTTCTTACATGTTTATATTGAAAATAATCCAAACAAGTTACATATAAAACAACTGCAATATAAATACACTAGCCTGACACTGCAGCTTTCTCTCCATCGTTTCGTTTGGAGCGAAAAACGATAGAGGGCGCTATTGCGAAGAATTGAGTTGTAACGTAAAAAGACTGAAAGGCGATTCTTTGCCGGACAAACCAAAGATTGAAGTGAAGTTTAGAAATTAGAAGAAAAACTGTAGTTGGTGGATCGAAAATCAAAGACCACCCCCTCCTCTCCCTCTCTCTCTCTCTCCCTCTCTCTCTCTCCGTCTGTGTACTTCTTTGTCTCTCTACCTCTCTCCGCCGGCCTTCACAGCGCCGTCTCTCTCCTCGCAGAGGTTTCACGTCGAAGCCTCAGGGCAAAGCAATCGGTAACGGTTAATTAAAATAGCCAAAAAGCCTTGAAAACTTTTTTTTTCTCTTTTTGATTTTTTTCCCCCTCCACTACAAGAAGGCTGTTTTTATTTTTTTAATTTTTAATTTTTTTAAAGCACCGTCTTCTCTGCATCAACTGGTTAGGATTATTATACGGTTAAATTTTGAATGATATGAACTAAATAATCGTGTTTTAGTAGAGCAGATCAAATGACATATTATTATTATTATTATTATTAAGTACTACTGATTAGTCAGACCGGGCTGTGTGTGCACTAACAGATGGGAAGGTAATAGTTGCTTTAATTAAAAGTGCAGGGTCAATCCTGCAGCGTCCAGGACACGCACACGGTGACCACAGTCTGCACTTTAACAATATCACAGAGTGGCTTTGGTTTATACAGTTACAGCTGAGCGGGATTAAAACACACACACACGCACACACGCACACGCACGCACATCCAAAACATCTCTGATGATTGAGCTTCTCAGGCTGTTCTGAACAGCAGAGAATCTGACAGACGAATTACTCTCCTCCTCCTCCTCCTCCTCCTCCTCCTCCTCCTCCTTCAGTTTCCTCCCCACCCCTGCTCCTCTTCTACTCCTCTCTTCATTATTGTTTCCCGTGCTCCTTCCCAGTCTGTGACCACCAGCTCCGGCTCCTGTTATTTCCCCTCTCCAATCATTATTAGTGTTATTGTATTTGTGTGGCCTCGGGCTTCACTTCATCTACTTCATGTTTCTGTGCATTTTTCTCTTTATATTTTATGTCAGGTATTTATTTGGGAGTCATTTAAACCTGTTTCACCTCTAACTATTTTATTTCTTTGTTTTTTTTTTTAACGTTTTCACCTGAAGCTCTCTCTCTCTCTCTGTGTGTTTTTTGTCACACTAATAAACATTACAACAAATGCAAACAAGCAAACAAACAACTAGGTACAAAATAAAAGCATCTTTTTTCCTTCCTGCTACATAACAATAACAACAGCGAGTGTGCACGGTTTGGTCACCCGAGGGCGCGCGTTCAGGTGAGTTACAGCACACGAAACAAGAGACAGAGAGAGTGAGAGTGAGAGAGATAGACAGTCAGTGAGAGAGGTGAGGTAGAGGGTGAGAGTGAGAGGTCACTGACCAACTGACCACAAAAAAAAAATCTGCAGCATAGAAGAATAAACCAGAAATAAATAAAATAAAATAAAAATAATGAGGACATATTAAAAGAGAATAAATCAACACGAGACGTGGAAATGTATCCACACAAACACACGACTCAACATTCGATGCTGATTCAAACAGAGGTGAGATCTCACAAAGGTAACGCTCATGTTGTAATAAATCCCTCTCCTCCCCCTCATCCCTCCCTTTCCCTCCCTGCCCCCCCCCCCTCCCCCCCCAACACCTCACCTCCCAGAATAGAATGGAAGTAAAAATATAATAAGCTTCATATAACGTTACATTTCAGGCACGGCTTGAACAAAACAAGGACGGGTTGAAAATAATGAAATAATTAAAAAAATAAAATAAATTGTCATAAAACATCGATATCCGTTATATAAATCGCATCGCAATACAAAACGCGATTAATATTTTTCATATTTAAGCATCGATATATACATCAAATACAATAAAATCGAGTAATAGTATCAAATATCGGCGCCGGCGTCCGTTATAGCTGTCGAAATGACACGATAAAACCGACGAAGAAATGTTGAAATCCTTACAGAGAAACGCGTTAAAATAATCCCTGTTCCAAACGAAGTCTTTGTCTGAAAATGATCACTTGGTCCAAAACAATCGAAAACGTGACGTTATTGCTGGGTTTTTTTATTAACCTGAGAGAATATTGCAAAGAAAACTTACATTTCCGTTGAAAAATCCTTTATAAATATTCAGCGAAAATCAAATGTACAGGAAATGGGAGGAAGAAGAAGAAGAAGAAGGAAAAAAAAAAGGTGCATAAACGTATATAAATATACATGTGATTTATAAAGTCGACGGAACGGAGGAGCAGGAGGAGAAGGAAGAGGCTGCGGTGGAGGAAAAACACAAAAAGGGGGAAAAAGTCCAGAAAAAGCTGCAGAAAAAGGTTGAAAGCACTTGGTTTTTTCCTTATTAAGGCGAAGATACAATATTTATTCCGTGTCTCCTGGGATGCTCCGACTCGTCTATTGTCCTCCCCATTCCTCAGTGCTGATGCTTAATTTTCAAAACTTCTATATTACCAAGGGACCTACGACATCAGCCGAGAAATACCCTGCAAGTACAAAATCCGTGCGCCAGCCCCGTCCGTGCAGAGGGGAGACGCGCGCCTTCCGCCAGCCTTTTCTGCTACCGTTTCTCACCAGAAAACCACGACGGCGGGACTCGTTGCATTTCTCTCTGCCCTTTTCTCCTGGAAGGATTTAAGGCTTTTTCGCTCTAATTTTTTGCACCAGACCGACGGAGAGAAGGAGGAGAAAAATAACCACGGGGTTTACTTTTGGAGAAAGCACCATGTCAGCGACCTTCCCCGGACTTGTCCACGACGCAGAGGTACGGAACACATTTTTGATTCTATTTATTTTTATTTTTATTTATTCCACAGAAAGCATTTCGCTTTATTGAAGGTTATTTTCGTTTATTTTTTATTTTCCTTTTTAATTAAAAAAAGCACTTCTTTTGGAAATGCAACTCTGCGAAGGATGGATTTTCTTTCTTTTTTTTCTTTTTTTTAAGAAATACATGCATTTACGTGGTAGTGGGGGACAAAAAACGCAGCGTTTTATTTGTGAGTGGAAGTGGACAGAAGCAGGGGAACAGTGACTGGAACAGTTTAGGGCGGACACACTTCTACTGTGCGCGTCTCTCTCTCTCTCTCTCCCTCTCTCTCAAACACACACTCCCTCTTTTTATTTTCTGTCTTTTATTTCTTTCTGATTTCTTATCTGAACGTCCGCTGCGCCGCCGCCAGCAGCAGCAGCAGCAGCAGCAGCAGCAGCTCCTCGGTCACAACGCTCGTAAAAAACAATAACAACAGAGAGCAGTGATCGTGTGTAACAGCAGCAGAGCTGTTTTTAAGAGTGACAGGAGCGCACGCCGAAGGGAGGGGAAAAAGGGAAAATACCGATGGCTCCTGTTGCCGTGTGCGCTCCCGCGGGCGTGGATGTGGAAAGTGACATCTCCTTCAGGTGGTTTTTAAAGTGGAGGAAAAAGGGCTTTGAGAAAAAGAGGGAGTGAGTGTGTGTGTGAGTGTGTGTGTGTTTTGGGAGGCAGACACAGCAGCAGCAGCAGCAGCAGCAGCTTGATGCTAAATGACACTCGACTCACACATTTTCATTTCACCATCCTTCTCTACAACCTTTCCTCTCTCTCTGTCTCTCTTCCTCTCTCTCTCTTTCTCCCTCTCCCTCCATTTTTATTATCATCTCCCTTTTCTCCCCCCACAGATACGTCACGACGGATCAAACAGCTACCGGCTCATGCAGCTCGGCTGTCTGGAGTCCGTGGCCAACTCCTCGGTCGCCTACTCCTCCACCTCGCCGCTCACCTACCCGGCGCCGGCGGGCACGGAGTTCGCGTCTCCTTACTTCTCCGCCAACCACCAGTACACGCCCCTGCACCACCAGTCCTTCCACTACGAGTTCCAGCACTCGCACCCGGCCGTGGCCCCGGAGGCCTACGGCCTGAACTCGCTGCACTCGGGCCAGTATTACCAGCAGCTGCACCACGGAGAGCCGGCCGACTTCATCAACCTGCACAGCGCGCGCTCGGCGCTCAAGTCCTCCTGTCTGGACGAGCAGCAGCGGCGCGAGCTGGGCTGCCTCGACGCCTACCGCCGCCATGACCTGTCTCTGATGACGTCACACGGCTCCCAGGCCTACGGCGTCGGCATGCACCACCCGGACCAGAGGCTGCTGCCCGCCGCCGGCCTGGGGCTGCCCACGTCCGCCTCCGACGACCTGCAGGTACCGGCGTACCTCCGTCACTATTTAAACCATTTCCTCCCTCGACACAGAAATACAGTGTGTGACAGTGGCGTGCACAGAAAAATCCTCAAAGGGGGCGAGTGGGCACCCTCAGAGTGGGCACCCTCAGAGTGGGCACCCTGCTTGATATAACTGATGGGAAAAGAGTGAACCGTCACGTGATTCCTCCAATATTGATCCACTTCAAAAAGCATGAACCCATTTAACCCGTTTACTGACAGGCAGTAAACAAATATACTATATTTATTATTGTGGACCACACAGCGGTTTGGTGGTATGAATAGATGCCTCAGGACAAAAAGGTCACCAGTTTGAGTCCCAACTTTTGTCAAGTTCCAGCTGGATTTGGTTCCAGTTGTCACCACAGCCCTGAGGCAAATTTAGAGACAAAAATAAAAACCAATGAACATTTTTAATATATAAATATATAAAAAAAAAACAAAATATAACCTAAAAATAAAATGTGGAAAATATAAGAATAAAATATGAACCTATCACTTTTTTTATAATTTACACAAAATTAGAACACATTTGTACAAAAATTATCTCAAAGAAATTTATTTTTTTTAGCTAACTATCAAACACATTCATTTAACTTTACATATGAGCTGAACTACACCTGTGGGTCTTTACACTTCTATTTTACATTCAAAACATTTATTGTTAATTAAGAAGAAAAAATTGAATTTTGTTTTCATAATTTAACTGGGTTTTTACCAAGCCCTAAAACCAAAAATGAACTTTTTTCTCCATTATTTAATATTAATTTGTTAGAATTTATAGGACAATATTTATAGGTGTCACAAAGTCCAGTCCTGACCAGTACATGAGCAGAATTTAATTTCTCTTCATATTTTTGTACTTTTGGAGAAAACATTCCAAAGTCTAAATTGATTATCTCTATATTTCATTAGTTTTATTTTAATTGTATTGTTATTATCTTAAGGACTGAGGACAATATTTATGTGGCATATTTATTTACTTGAAAAATATATTTGTTGAAAGATTGTTCTACAATGTATTTTTTTCAATATTTTTAAACATTTTGATGGAACATGATTGACTGACTGATAGCATTCAAATGAGACAAGAAAAGGCACAAAATATGTGACAGGAATGTAGTAAAAATGGCCAAAACACACGGATAAAATATATTAAATACACAACATACAAAATTATTTTTTTAAACTTGATTTTACTCTTACCCTCATCTTCTATTTTTGCCCTCCCCCCCAAAGTTTGTGTGCACACCACTGCCCACTAGCTGCCACTTTGACCCCCACCTTCCTCCTCCTCCTCCTCCTCCTCCTCTGTCTCATTGTAGCAGCCACACAGCTACACCAAAAAAAATATTGCAGAGAAAGACAGCGCCAGATGTCTGTCTGTCTGCGCCTGTCTGCTTCATCTGTCAGCGGCACCACTGCGGGGCCTGGCATGTTTTGCGCCCCTAAAATTTTTTTTACCGCCGCCCCTGCAACCGTGAGCAAAAAAAAAGTGTCAATATTATTGGATAGCTCCTGTTTGAGTTCTTTTTTTTGTGCTGTTGAACCCAAACGTGATTGTACAACAGGGTGGGTGACTGTGGAGTAGACACACACACACACACACACTGCTACTTTAAAGGTTAATTGACTGGCAGTCTATACAATCCTATTGTAGAAAATCCGCCTTTTATTTCCCCATCAGCGCACGTGACCGTGCCTTTTTACATCATTCTTTTCCATGTAAAGAAATGGCCTGAGATGAAAACGGCAGTGAGTGTGTGTGAGTGTGTGTGAGTGTGAGTGTGTGTGTGTGTTGGGGCACCATATAGCCGCTCCTTTCTCTGGTAAAGGGCGGATTAACGGCTCGGCCTCCAGGACACAAAGACCCGCCATAAAGCACCGTAGTTTATCCAATTACCGACTTAACGTCAATCAACGCGGTAACTTATGCAGCGACATCTGAGCAGCTTTACAACCTCTTTGTGGTTAAACACACTTTAACACAGCAGCGGCCCACGTCACTGTTTTCACTCACTCGCCTTCATCCACGGTCTGGTGACGTCGAACTGTCAGGAGTTTCATTTAGTTTTGATTGGACTGAAACAAAGAATATGACGGGAATATGAAGATATATAATTTAAAACCACAATTTGTCACCAGCCAGAAATTTTTATCTAATAATATATACTTCAAAAATAAATTATCTTAAATAGTATTCAACCACAAATTGATTTATGTTTTGGTGACGTCAGGTTTATCACCATATGAAGTGATAAATTAATTGTATAATATTATATTATTATTATTTTATTGGTTGGTTGTTGGTTGACATTATTTTATTATGACAGTCATATAAGCAATATTTAACTTTTTGCTATTTTCTCTGATTTATATAATTATTAATATTAAATATACACTTTTTTAAAACATATTCTTAATTATATCGTGTTTTAAATTGTATTATAATTTACATTCATTTTAAGATATTCTGATTTTTTCCATATCTATGGGACTATTTTTTCAAAAATATTTTTTATTTAACACAAATCCTTAAAAGAGGGATTTTTAAATTGCGTTTCTTTTATTAAATGTAAATCCTTTATTATATTTTTATTTACTTATTTAATAATTCCGGTCTTTAAGTAATAATAATAATAAATAATACAATTTTTCTCAATTGTTTTATTATATAGGCGTTTTATATTCATTACTAACTATAAATATTTTTATTTTATTTTTTATTTTTATTTCTAATGTTTTCACCTTGTTAAATTGAAT